TAACTCAACATTTCACAAATCTGAGAACGGATCCGAGTGTTGAAGATTTTCTCTTTCTGAAAACCTCTTGAACTGTTTCTGAAGCTCTCGGGATTCATGAGATCTCGCTATGGGGATTTCTTGAGGAACACTCCCAGCTGCGCGAAAAACCCGTTTCCTGTGTACCGTTCCAAGTGAGCGTGTTCGAATAGCCAGGAACGCATGTAGAACGGTATCCCTGTGGTGGAGCAGGAGCAGGATAGTGGATTCGTCTTCAGCGCGAAATAGATATTTGGATGCGCCGCGCACTGAGGGCCGCGCAGAGGTGATGGGATGGTGCAACTTGTGCGTAATGTCTGTTCACGCGAGCAAATGTGTCTATAAGGTTCAGGGAGGTCCATGGCGAGCCTGTGCACTTGTTTACAGTGTTTTCCGTTGCGTATGATGGAACATGTCCTGCAACGCGCTGCCAGATTCGTGCTCTGCCAATCGCTGACTCCGATAAAGGAGACCAACTGCTGGAAAACGTCTGATATGAACGATATGGTAGTCCTGTCGCTTGTCGAGAAAAAAACAGGTTGGCTCAGCGCCAAGCGTGACCGCGGACACGCCATATCATTGGCAGCGAACCAGAGTTTGACTGTTTGTACTGTTTAGTCACCAACGGGACCTACGAGATAATGTTGACTTATTAATATTTGCAGTTATTTCGGATTAGTTTGATGAATGAAAGTTTTGTACTATTTTTTTGCATATCCGAGTTCTCTACAAAGCAAGTTTCGTTGTACAGGACTCAGCACATTGACAATTTGCGCTGGTCGTTACTGGCTGCCGCACTCACTACGACCCCCCCCCTCTCCTGGCGGCCAAATACGACCCCCCCTGTTGGGGATTCCCCAACCAACGATGTGCCCTGACTCGCGGGTCCGTCGCGGTTGGGCCGTCGCGTGCGATGTCGCGCCCGCTAATGACGACGATTTTAAGTGATGTGGGTGCCGAGAGGACGCATGACCAGAATATGACATAAATGTTTGTCTAACTATGTTCTTTTAATGTAATAAGATGTCAATCGAAGGTAGTAAAATCCGTGAGAAGCGTCACGACCCACTGCCGACGCGACGAAGTGGCAATGCACGATTCTCTTGCTCGTGTCCCATACACGGGCCATTTTCCTATATCCTTCGGAACTGTTTTTAATGAAAGGAAGTTTCAGACGGGGTTATGTGAGTGGCACGCTTAGCACTTTTCTCCAACGAGAGGCGGAATAGTTGTGAAGTCACCTGAAAGTCAATTAACCGTGATCCGAATTGTTTCCGTTCCTGGAGATAAGGTATCGTGGCATCGAAGCATCCTTGAGCCAGTCCAATCATTTGAGCACCAATACCGATTCGGCCAGCATTCAAACATTCAATGGCATACTTATAGCCTGAAAAATACCGAACTAGAAGCAAACGCAGTATTTTTACGAGCTCTCTATGGTGGTTCAGTAGCAAGGAAACTGCTCAACAAAAGAAGAAATGGTCTTAAACCCACCCTCGTGTTTCCATTGCGCTACACTCTGACAGTGGAACGAAGGAAGAGCTCATTGATTAGAGACAAAAATTTGAGAAAAGGACCCCACGAAATCCAACCATTAGTCACCATCCCAAGTGTTACGGAAAGATTTCCCTCCTGAAGAGGTGAAGAATCAGCAGCATATGTTCGCAAGCCCCTGATCATCCTTACCATGCTTTTCTTTGGAATGGGCCAAATAATAGCAATTCCTTCGGGCTGGGATTGGTTTTCGAGGGTACTTACTACCTCCTCAACCGCTAATAGGTATTCCTGACACGACAGGCGCGACCGCCTCCCTTATGAATCCAAATTTGGGGGGATTCCTCAGAGAGCTACAGTCGTCATCCGGGCAGTTGATTAGGCGGCCAAAGGGTCGCGACGCGGCTGCGGCTCGTCACGACCGCGGCGATCAACTGTTTCCAGCCTGGTTTAGCCATTTCCTCCCTAATTTTCAATATTTTCTATTTTTTTTCTTCCAAAAGTAGTTGTGTTAATGGCCTTTTATAAAAGAGGCGTATTAAGGACGCTGGATTCTTTTGTTGTAGTTTGTAATGAAGTTGTTTCTGGCGGATTTGTTGCAGTTTTATTTGTTTAACTTGTTGGTCGCGATTGTTTATTGTTGCAAAAATTAGAGAAGTTTCAAACACAATTTTAACATTGTGAAAGAACAAGGACAACTAACCTCAGAGAGTCAGCAAAAACAGTGGAAAAACAAGGGAGATAAATGGCTATACCAGGGCTGGAAGAGCAGCTGATCGCAGGCGTCGTGACGCGCCGGCTAGCCGCGTCGCAACCTTTGGCCGCCTAATCAAGTGCCCGGATGACGACTAAACTTCGGAAAAAAGCTGGAGCATAAAAGCTTGATCATGAGAATATAACATACCTTTCCCGTATTCACCAAGTATAGCAGTCTTAGGCACTCGCACATTGTCGAAATGAACTGGGCAAGTGGATGAAGCACGAATTCCTAATTTATCCTCCTTTCTTTGCCACCGTTACTCCTTCCTGGTTTCTGTCCACTAGGAAACAGGTAATGCCTTTGTAACCCTTGGATGGATCAGCGTTAGCAAATACCTGAACAATTTTTTTCAGGAGAAAAGTTATCGTAATCATGAGCATCATCTATAGATTCAATTTTTTCAGTAAAAAATTGTTATACTCAAGGATAAAAGCGAATATCGCCCGTTGACCCAATTCCTTTGCGATGCGGCAAGCGTATTCTACTTTTTTGCGTCAATTGGCTTACGTGACTGCAATGTGGATTATAAAGCAATGACTTACGTGCGCAGCGATGTTCAAGTCAGCTGTTTTTATCCTCCAAGAACAAAAATGGTAACCCATCTTACCCCGGCGGGGGTGGTAGGGCCTTGGGTTGGCCTGAGGCGGGTGACGAGACGGGATTTGAACTAGTTGACCGTGGTGGTAGGCGCCGCCACTTGTGCTTTACCCGCGCATCTCCGCCTATTACGTAATTGAATTGGATTATTATGCTGGGACTAAACTACGAAAAATAAACGGCCAAAATTTCTGTTTTCTAAATGAGCTGATTTGTGAAAGAAAAAAAAAAACGGCGGTGGCGCGTTGATGAGCCTACTTCTGAAGATAGCGCTGGCGCACGCGTCGGATTTCTCGCAACCAGTGGGCGGGCATTGTGAGCATCGACACTAGGCAGTTGCAGTACCGCCTTTTCTGACATACCTTACAAGTCATCGATTCTGTTTCAAAATCTTACTTTTCTAAAACCGTAGTTAGGTATCAAGGTACTGTATGCAATCAAAATATTCATAATGAAAAAAACAAACCAAGAAAAAGTGGGCATGGCCAGCATTAGTGATCCACAACTTGGATCCAGAAATGACAAAGTCGTTTCCGTCTGCTTTGGCCGTAGTTTTCAAGGCAAAAGCATCTGATCCTGACCCACTCTCGGATAGACAAAATGAGCCGACCTGAAGAAAACTAATAAATAAACCTATCAAAGAAGTATGCATAACCCTATTTTCTGATGTATAGGGCGCACCTTGGCCAAGCACGCTGCAAAAATTTTTACACGCTTTCTCTCTGCGTATTTTTTTTCTTTCGAACACGTATGGTCCAGACGTCTAGCAGGAAAGAATACAGCGCCCCTGAGCGGGCGCTGCCTGGCGCTTTCTCTGAGGAAGGTACTTTTGTAGTTTTGTAGCCTATCAAGTGACAACGTACCGACACGGACGCCCACTGCACCTGCCCACAAACGTCCGAGATGCGGGTGCTCATATCGCTTCATCTGCGAAGTACTATATGAAGCGAAGGGATTGATATGAATTGGGATGTAAGAGTACACACATGCAGCAGTATCTACCGCAGCGGTTATTGGCCGACGCCAGCGGGAAACTCGTCCGAAGTTGTATGCTGAATCGAGTAGAACAACGGCTTTTTTGCAAGTTCCTGACTGTTTCACTTCGCTTTTTCGCCATTTTCCCCACTAGATAGCATCCCTGCTACCATTTCAGATCGAGTACCGAATTATCGTACCCTATGCCTTCAAGAAAGAAGTGTTTGAAATAGGGCACATTGTACGCTGGTGATCCTTAGCGAGGGGTTGCACATGATCGCTGGAGGTGGGGAGGGGAGGTCGTATTTGCCTTCGAGAATTAAGTTTTTAGTTGTTGAATCTCGCTTTTTCCGCTT